CCTCCCCCCCTTCTATCTCTGTTTTTGATCACCCCCAACTGAAGAGGTGCTATGACTAAAATCCTCCTTTAAATTCCAGGAAACTTGTGATCATGTGTTAACACAGAAATAAGAAGGAAATATGAATCATAGCCACATTAAATCTGGCGTGACTAGTATTGGCTTATGAAAGAATGCACCCATTTGCGATTCACTAATGCTGACTATGTGATAATGACTCCCACTTGCCTTATTTCACTGCTGAAATTAAACGCTTGAAAATCATTATAAGGCTCTGACTGTCTCAGACACCTGAACTCACTCTGGAGACCAGTGTGCTAGGATGCTGCAGCGATGAACTTAAATGCCATCACTTCTCAGGATGACTACTTGCACTGACAGAGGCAGAACTGTAACCTTGAAAAATTCAGCAGTTAAATAATGAAACATTCATGGAACATGACATGTGTTCACAAGCAGGTCATTAGTCATCCAAAAGTTGATCCCAACCCTCTTCAGTGCTGTGTGAAATGGTCCTGTCACCACCTCTGGAGTTGGATGGGAATCACTTTGACTCCCACGGGTGATCTATGCCAGCATTATCCCACAAGGGTGCTTCCTCTCTCTGTCTCTCCAGCACACACAGATAAAAGATTAGCTCATTTTAAAAGCTGCAACAGTCGATCCAAGCAGTGTTTGGGAGATGTCCTGTGCTGCGTTTTCTCTTTCTAAGGTTTTCTGAAGTAATGATGATGATGCTTTGTTAGTGTGTTTGCTGAAGAGCAATCGCTGCTTTCAGAACGATGACTGCAATTACAATACATAAACAGCATTTTGAGTTGGTTCTCATGTCAATGGCAAAGTAAAGATGCTTCAGTGTGATTTCAGTGGAGCTGACTAGGTTACGTGCAGGGACATTATGGCCCACTTTTGTCATCAATAATACAATGCAGTGTGACTCTTGAGGGTAGCAGAGGGAATAGTGATAGCAAACAGCCCACAACTGATTCTAGTGAAACAACAGCAATATCAGAAAAAATGATCATACTGTGGGTTGGTTTTGGGACAATGTGTTAAAATAGTATTATAAACTCTTTATTAAGTGTCATTGCAGAAACCTACAGACATATTATGCCCCAGTTTTTAAGCGTCTATAACTAGGCTTCTGGTAAAGAGCCATATGTCCCATATCCCTCTCCACTGACCTGCTGGTAGTTCTCATCTTCAGGCTGGAAGGTCTTATCAATGGGCTGAAACCTCAGATTGATATGAGGAAAATTGTGAAGCCAGTAAGTCCACCACGGCGCAATGTAATCCACACGATCCGAAGACATCACTGCCCGGAGAAAAAGTTAGGCTTCAGCCTAAATTAGCCTCTCAGTAGTAAAGCAGGCAGTTTCTTCCGCTGCCGGATATTTTAATCAAGTCGCACATTAAACAAAGGCAACGATAAAAGCATGCTCGGTTGTGGAAACACGCTCGACCACACATGAGAGGTGGGGAAAGTCCTGCAAAGGTAAAAGTGTGTTTGCAAAGTGAGCTCCGGTTAAGATTTTTCCCGAGAAAGACCAATAATCACTCTGCGTCCATGTTTCCGTTCCTGTGGACCCACAGATACTATCCGACCGACAGCTGCTCCACACAAACAGCAGACAACACAGTCAGCAGCGTGAACGCGCACTTATAGTAGGCGCAGGACACCAGGGGGTGAGGGGGCGTGCACATTCGCTTTCGTAAATGGTTTCGGAACATTAGTCTGGCAGCATACATCATAAGTACAACTAATTAATTAAATAAACAAAGTCAGTTTATTGTAACATCAGCTACATCGATTTTTTTTTAAAAATTATTAACGGCCCCTTTATTCTCTGGTAAATAAGCAACAGCGGTGCCACCTAGTGTTCAATTAAGCCAATTACACAACATGCAGCCCGTGAGAACAGCTGGTGGGTCATTTTTAAAGTGGCTTATATTAACATTTTGTATACTTGTATTTTCTGGTGTACTTCAGCTACAGATGCAGCAAATTTAGATGCTAAAATAATATTTGCTGTATTCATGAGCAGGTTACTTATATTTATTTATGAAACTTTGATGTAATTAAACTAAGTGGAATTGAGCCAGATTCAGCCCAGCTGTCAAATAGCTAACTGTGCTGGTTATATGACTTTATCACCTTAAATGTTTCCAAAATTAATTTTATAGCCATTAAAATTTACAAGTTTACATTTTCTGGGTAAAAATCTTGTATATAGATGTAGTGCGGCTATATGTTGATGCAGACATTGTAACCAAGCAGTCAGTGAAAACCTCTACAAAGATGAAGCTGAAGAAAACAATCAACATCTACAAAGGATGCATTTTATTATTTCGCCCCAAATTGTGCTATAAAGTCATTGCCGCTCATTTCAGATCAAATGCTCCAATGTCCATGTCACACTTGTGGATTATGGTATAACAACACAACAAATCACAGAAGCCAAAGTGATTTTCCCCCCCAGTTTTTTATTACAATTATCTGTACATCACGGATTTACTTCAGCTCCTTCACAGCCAGACCTGTAAAGAAAGAAAGACAAAAGATTAGAAATATTCAGATACACACTTTCTAAAACACAACTGGGAAAATACATTTGAGGCATCACATGATTAAAGTAGTAAGGAGTAAGGAGTATTTATATTTTCATCAAAATTTCTCCACTTGCACCAGGTATCACATCTGATCTTTACGGGGCAAGTTATTAACAATTATCATACCGGCAGTATTAAGAAGACGGCAGACTGCCATCAACACGAGTGACAGCAAACTGCAAAGAACCAGTTAATGTGGATCTGCTCTTTGAAGAGCATGAATGTTTCTGTGGCGATTAGAATTTAATTCAGGGTTGTTGGGTTTTTTTTTTTTAATACAAAGAGCTTGCGATTCAATGCCAGTTTCAGTCCTACCAGCTACAGCATGACGTGTTACAGAAAAGCAGAGGATAAAATGATAGCTCATTATAATTTAAAGTATCACAATTTTTAAAGAAATAATTCTTCAAAAAAAACCTAATCTAAACCCTGACATGCAGCCGAAAATTGATGATATTATTAATTTTAAAATGAATTAATTTGTCTAAAAATGGCTCCTCTGCCATTATGAGGCAAACTTCTTAGCTTACATTATGGTGCAATTCCACCATACACAGACTTTTAGGCACTAACTGCAATGTCTAGACAGGCTGCAATCAAATATGAAAACATTTGAAAACCAACCAGATATCAGAGCAAAGGAACACAACATAAACTGGGAAAGCTCTGCTGTAGCAATCAATTTCTTTGGTTCTTTTTATTATGAGACTTTTTTTCAGTATTGCACTATTAACCCTCGCAATTCGGGGCACTTAAGTATCAGGACCTTCTGTTCTACACATTGTAAACAGAGAATCTGCAGCTGTGCTTTACACACTGAAAAGTCCAGGTCATTTTCCACGAGAACCAGATATCATTAATACATGTGCACACAGACTTTTTAAACGCTAAAGATTCCAGACATTTGTTTATGAAATTAACTACGTTTTATACGTTTCCTTCCAAATATGATAAAGCAGACAACTACTGTGGGCCAATAAAAGCACTAAAGTCCCAGAATATCAAAAAACTTAACTGTATTTTTATGAATGTTCTTCAAAAAGGGTTTATTTTTTAACACTGCAGCCAAGAGAAACAAACCATTAACAATCACTGAACCATGTCTCAATAAGTAAGTTAACTTAAAGGGATGCACCAGCATTAAAAATCTTCAACCCAAAGGTGGCCCAAAACTGTACAGAGTAGTATATGTGCACATATCTTTAAATCAGTGCGATAAAAGGTTTTGTCTGAGTCATTTTAATTCAAAGCCCTTAAATCTACTTGATAAAAATCAAGAGTACATTTTCCAGAAAGCTTTGTTCACTTTACATGCCACCTCTCTTATTACTCACCTGGGGGCAGGGACTGTTTGAGCTTCTCAGCCTTCTCCTTGTCTGTGATGACCAGGGTGTACAGGTACCTGCTGCAGCGCACCTTGAACTTAACATTGTCCTTGTTCTTCTTGATCTTTACGGCTAAAGGAGGAAAGACAAAGCTGTGTTAGCGCCGAGTCTCTTCAAAAGTAAACTCAAACATAATTATTTCTCAAGTCAAACAAACACTAATAGGTGAGAGCTTTAGTTTAATACTTTCTGGATCTGCTAATAAAAACAGCATTCTGAACACATGTTTTTTTCATGCCTCAAAAATAGGCTTGTGGGAGGTGACTACATATGTAAGTATGAATGGTCTGTATATTAAAGATCCTAAGACAACACAGAATAACTGCCACAAGCCTGCCAATTACTAAATACTTTTAGTAAGTTTCACCACAATTTATTATTTATCAAAGCCATGGTGATTTTGCTTTGGGGGAAGACCAAAATCTCGCTGAAGAGCACTTTAATTTAGAGGTAACTACATGATAGATGCCGCCGCCCCCCAAAGAAATGTTTCTAGAGGTTCAAATTTCTTTTTCAACACATTCACTGGACTTTAAAAGGTGCATTTCAATTTACAATGTTAGCATAGAGCTGTCTGTGGCAAGCTGTCACCCACATATCTACCTATTCTTTGGCAAGAAGATTAAATTTCTAGTTGTTAAACATCAAAATGTGATGCCTGTGTGCCTCTTACACTTAGCATCCTTCCTCCTGGCTGTCAGCAGGAAATCTTTGATTTCTTCTATCTTGCGAGGCTACAAATAAACAGAAAAAATGATCAGTCAGGCAGAGCATCAAACTTCACATGCTGATAATGAATCGCTAACGAGTGTTAGTGGACCGGTGGAACTGAGGTTCCCGTTATAAAGTCGAAACCTAGCACTTGGTCCATCATTATTCTCGCAAGAGTGTAAATGCATCACGGGCACATCAGCCTGAGATGTTTGGACTTCTTGCTGTTAGCAAAAAACTCTTTTGGTAGGATGTTGCTAATTGTCAGGCACCCTGTGGCTAGCGCAGACCAAGTCTAAGCTGTAGTACTGTAGAAAAGACGCAACTATGATTTTAGTGCCTTAAGCTACTTTCAAGACATTCACTTCTAATTAAAATAACAAAAAAAACAACAACAAAACAATTTCTTATAGGCATTGACTCATGTGTCATTCCTCAACAAACTGCAGCCGGGTGGCCCAGCTTAGCCCCTTAGCGGCATTTTGCTAATGCTAATAGCCAGTGCTAACTACTTTTACAACAACTACCGACTATTAACTGAACTGTAAACACATTCTAAGTAACAACATACACGTATACATGACATACAACCTTATTAAGCACAAATAAGCAACTAACAGATTAAAATGAGATGCAATCCTTACCATGCTGCCGTATCAGCGGACTGGAGGCTGCGGAAGAGAGAGATCGAGTCAGCTATACAGACGATAATCAATGTACTAAAAATAAAATTTCAATCTAATCTTCTACCAACGGAATGAAATAATTATATTTTAGCAAAAGTTGGGTTCTAAATGTTGCTGACAAAGAGGATGGATGATGATGATAAAATAGTCATTATGTTTGTGGTGCAACATGAACTCACTCAGTCGGCCAGAGAGGGGATGAAAAAGGGGCGGGACTTCCGGTTGAAAACGCATTTATATGTCACTACGGCAACTACCGAGGGCCAAGACGAAAAGCGAATCGAATATTGATACAGGAGCCCAGTTTTGCCGAAATTTAAAAGCGTTTGTGTGCCGCATAAATCCCCAAATCGTGTTTTATAGACTTTATTACCATATATTGAATAGTAAACTTAATATAACCCAGCCAAGCATATACTGGTGAATGACAAAAAAAAATGTATGTATATGTCTTTATTTCCCAATAACAAAACAATTGCCAATTTCTTTTTCCAGCAGGACTTTGCATCTGCCCACAATGACAAAGCTGCTACTAAATACTGGCCATGATATTACTCGGCTTGATTGGCCAGGTAACTCGCCTGAATTAAAACTCATAGAGGCTCTATGGGTTATTGTCAAGAAAGCTGAAGGTCGCAAAGTAACTGTTGGTTTTATTAGCCAGGAAAGGGAATTGAATGTACCAAAAATGAAAAAAAAAATGGCAAAAAACCACCATACCTCAAACAGGTTTCCAATGCAAGAGTATAAATAAGCTTATAAAACTGCATGTACATAAAATTTAATATATCCTCTAATAATTCACTGTTGTAGTGTGCACAGTTCATTTAAGCCTGGTGAATGTCAGTGATTTGTTGCCTATGACACAGAACCACAATATGAATTTATTAATTTGCTGCTCAACTGCACACAGATTATACACATTAGACCTTTTCATGAATACAACATGCATCACACAGGACATAATGTGCTGAGAATTCCTCACAGGCCGGTAAAGCGGATTATGTATGAAGGTTATTTCTCACCCTCTGTGTGACCCTTTTGTTATCCTGCAGATCACACACTGTGTTTCACTGCGCACTTTCAGCCAAGTATGAATAAGCTTTGATGGATGCACTACAGCGTGCCTCTGAATAGAAACACTGGCTAGGACCAGTGTGTGGAAGAAATTATGTTTGCGCTGCCAGAAAAAAGCCATATCTCCAAGATGTGGACATGATCACACTAGGTCTCCTCTGCAGACCTGAGACTGACCTAGAACATGCATTGTGTTTATCACTTCAGGAGCAGAATCATGTTGTAATGGTCATGCATTCATTTCTACTAATTATGTAAAGTGAACCTGAAATTAATTCAGTTAAATGCTGTGGATATATTTCCACATAATTAGCATAAAGGTAAAGTGTTAGTAAAGCAGGAAAGACACTGGGCTGCAAACAGGATTTTGGAATTGAGTTCTAAAATGAAAAATCCCAAAATAAAAATACAGAATCGATGTTTATTTAAGTTTAATCTCCCTAGAAGTTGCCAGGGATTTTTTCTGTACCTAAAAATGTATTTTCCACCTGTAATAGTGGTCAACCCTTTATTCAATACATTTGAGATTAGAGAAAAATTGTGAACACAGTGATCCAGTCAAGTGTCAAGAAAAATCTTTCTTGTGTATCAGTTAAAAAAGCCCCAAAACAACCCCTTTCCTTTTCTACTGAGCAGCTCGAAGCCCCTCAGTCACACCAAAGAAAGCTGCAATCCACTACCCTGCATAAATGTTAAATGTTCAATAACTTCTCAACACTGCTAGGAAT